AATGGGAGCCCTCCGTGGGCTATACTCGGGAACAGGAGCCCACTCTGGGCTGGATTCGGGCACTGGAGGGTGCTCTGGAGGAGTAGGCACAGCAAGGCGCTTTCGAGGAGCTGGCACTGGAGCGAACTCAGGGGCTGGAGCCGACACTGGAGCGCGCCTAAGGAACAGAACCAACCGCCGTCTCCTCCACAGATTCAGGGGTGAAAGGCACGGCTGGCAGGCTTGCCGTTGCGGTGACCGGTGGGCTTGGGTCAATGGCAACCGGCGGGCTTGAGAAAGCCACGGCCGGCGGGCTTGACTTCGACACTGGAGTGCGCCTAGGGACCAGAACCAACCGCCTTCTCCTTCTCAAATTCCCCTCTAGGCTCGGGGTGAAAGGCACGGCTGGCAGGCTTGCCGTTGTGGTGACCGGCGGACTTGGGTCAATGTCGGCCGGCGGGCTTGACAACGGCACGGCCGGCTGGCCTATCTTCAGAGCGGCCGGTGGGCTCGTCTTCGGAGTGGCGAAACGTGCGGCTGTTTCCATGCTGCGGGGGAAAAAACAGGAAAACAAAAACTATTCACAAAGGCGGAAAACAAACACGGGGGAAAAGTAAGCGCTTACTTTCAGATTTTACGGTCTTGCGTTCTGTCACAATGTGGGTAGATGAGGCACAAAGCGAAGGGCTAATCCAAAGGTGAGTCTTTTATTAACAATCCAAGAGGGTAACACTGACGAACATAGGATAAAAACTCCACAACGTAACTTTAACACAAGACAAGGGAACTGAGGAAAACACAGGGCTTATAAACACATGGAACGTAATCAGGGAGAACAGAAACAGGTGAGGAGTAATCAATCAAAACAGGTGAACAGAATAAACGATGATTAACTAAATGAGAAAATGAACTAAACCAAATAGGGGCAAACAGGAACTAAACAGAAACAAACATGTGACACTAGGGTGTTATGTCATGTTTTTTTATTGTCTTATGGCATTGTAATTACTCTTTCGGCTAACTGCTTGCTAGGGTTGGGCCGATAGACAATGCCATCGTCCATCGCCGATGGCTGACAGACATCAAGATGTTGAGCCGGCGTCGTGATTCCCCACACATCCTCCCTACCACAGTGACCCCAAGCCCCCCCACCTCCCCCCAACAACCCACAGCAATACTGCTTGCTCTCTCTTTCTTTCTCTATCACTCCCATGATAACATAAGAGGTGTAATGTAAATGTAATGTAAATTTGAATCTTGATGTTGCTGTCCCAGCACAAAATAGCATAAAATGTGGGTGAGAGTTAATTTCTTGCATGTATGTCTCTGTTGGTTACCCTTCAGGGCAGGGAGCCACTCTCATCGCAGACACCGGCGCTGGAAAGCAGAAATTAGGAGTTCTTCCAGCATGGAAAACAGGTACAGTTGTGACCTTATGACTGAATAATTGGGAAAAGGCCACATTTAAATGTAAAATTCAGTGGAAATCCGTGGCTGAGTCTAAAACCGAAGGCAGCTGCTGTCCTGTCCAGTCTATCAGTGGCACTATAACATCACATCTAATGGTCTAAAACCAATTCAAGTAAGAATAGAATACAACAAAATCCTAAGTTGACATGCATGTTCATTTATACAAACATTAACACATTCATATGAATTAGAACATTCTTATTCTGAAAGTTTTAAATGAATGTTCCAAAAAATAAAAAATTGTTGGTGTTTTTGGAGAATGTTGGGGGTCAGAGATATTCATGACTTCATGCTGGCCAGTCAGGTTTTTTATCTTATCAGTGAGCATCCGGTGCCACTGTTGTGATGACTGATAAAGGTAGAGGTGACACAGAGGAAACTCTTTTATCTGCCTCTCACAGCTGATGTCCAACATTTGGCGTGTAGATCAATGGAAACGGGAAAGGGAATGAAATTTGAGCTCTTGCCCCCGTGAACGGTTTCAGATCTTTGGAGTAGGTTGTGGGGTGATGGGGTTGAGGTACTGTAGAGGTGTAGCACTGTAGGGAATAGTGATGAAATAAAGTTTCAGTTTTTCTTTGATAGTAAGTATCAGTGACCATGTACAAGTTAGGACGTTGGAGTACATGCTTCCTTATTGCACAAATGAGTATAGTTTATGAGATGTAAAATAAGACCATTTTGTACTGGGTCAAATGCGTATTTTTGAAAATACATTTTGAATTAGATGAACGCATCAGAGTAATCACAGACACAGTTTTTCATGCATTAAATTGGCCTCAAACGCTCTCCCAGGTGTCACCACTCTGATTACTTCATCAGTCCTTCATACAAAAGACACTCTCATTCATTCATCACACAATTTCTGCCTTTTTCGGGAGTGGAGAAAAACGAGCTCAGGTTTCAAATTGAAATAATCTTAAACTGGAGATGATTGCTTTTAAATCCCTAACTGATCTCTCCATTGTTTGAAATTTCATAGGGATATGCAAAGGACGAAATCATTATAGAAAGAGAGCACAGTGAAGCTTTACATGGTTTCATGAGTTGAAAAGGCACAGAGAGCCCACTCACGCCACACAACAGGAACGATGATCATCAGTTCCCATTTCAGTGAATCCTCATTCACTTCACAAAGACCTATTATAGATAATCTATGTCCTGAGCTGGTATAATTGGCATGCCCTTTCTTAGGAAACCATTTTATTCCGACTTAAGCTTGTGCAGATGAGAGGAACTAGACGATCATGGAAGACAATGAAATAGAAGTCTGCATGTCGCCAGTTGTTTAAGTGAATGGACATTAGCTGGATCTCTCTTCAATTACTATTTCAGCAGCAATATAATATCGGTAGATTCAAAAGCTTTTGCTTCATAATTTCTTTTGACAAAGTGCTTAATTTTACACTTTTTGCCACTTTCTTTGATGCTTCTCCCAGTGACAGTGAGAGTGACATTTTCCATGTTAACCTGTGGAGGATTCACCTTTCCACCTCACTGCCTATAGAAAGGGAAAACTGACAGATGACTATTATACCTTTGCTGTTCCACATTATAATTTTATTGCTACTGTTGTAAAGGAAAGGTGCTGTGAGCATTATCTTGATAAACTAAAATGGTTCTTCTTATAGTGCTATGTATATTTAATGTGAATATGAATATTTTAATTCCTCCTTGAGGTGAAGGGGCATTAACAATGATTTATTGTGCTTTATGTATGTAGATCTGAAGATTGTGAAAAATCTGGTTTCCAAGACAGTGGCCATTCTTCAGCTGTCCATGGAGGCAATGCATGCAGGTCGGCAATCAAGCTGACCAGTAAAATCTCATCTAAGTGCTGCTGCCACTTTTCTGAAAGCACCGTAAGTGTTTCTGATGGCTACCTGATGCGCTTGCAGTGCCAAACTCTTGGTCAGTTTAAGGCCCTCATGAAACCATTGATTTCTTTTTGCTTAATAGGTGTCAAGACCAAACGTTTGTTAACTAATGCATTTGAAAGTCAGCTAGTGCACATTTTTCCCCCATGGGAAAATATTTGTTGTGATGTATGTGACTTTCTTGCTTGTTTTTCAGTTCTTTTACAATAGCTGTGGGTAGGATTTGTATTGAAGCAAGCCATAGTTAAGGCATAGCACTTTTAACAGATGAAGTTTTTCTAGAGTCCTTTTTGTTTTGAAAGTTGGCTAATATTGCATTGCCATTTCCTTTTTAATGGGAACAATAATTACCATTGTAGCAATGCCTTTGAGTGAGGTTATTTGTGTCATTGGGATTTTTAACCAACATGAGATTTGCATATTGCACACATGGTTGACACACAATTTAAACTTAAGTTAATTAACTTTTTAATGAGAGTGCTTTTCGAGTGTTTTCCACTCTTAGTAATTACACTTGTTAGAAGTGACATGCAACCTACTGCCACACTCTAAATGCATCCAATCCAAACAGAAATATCAAACATCATTCAATTAATAAAAGTTCACCATCACTAAAGAACATGGTCCTGGGGAGTAATCATATAATATCATAATTTAATGTTAATAATTAACATAAACCTATATGCTGCATCATGGATTTTCTAACATTACTTTCAGAAAGCTTTTAAATAAACTTTTGTATCATAGCTTTGAAGCTTTCGGTGATCGTCTGAATGAGTGGCAGATAAATCACTTTTCCTGACATAATCATTAAAGTTACACTAATTACATTCTCTAGTCTTTTAATCATTGCTAATATTTGTTTTTTGTGCTATAATATTTAAAGATTGTCTAGTGTGTGAATAAAATATTCCTTCCACTGATTTTTAATTTGTTTTCTGAAAGTTTTTAAACTATAGATGTTGACATTAATGTCTCTTTTTTGTCTCTCTTTTGAAGAAAAAAAATATGTATTTTTTGAGATACAATTTATTGCACGGTTGGTTAGCAATGGCCTCTTTCTGTTTTAGTAAAGCATGCTTTGCTCTGGTGTGGTTTGTTTCATATACTGAAGCTTGCAAAAAGCTGATGCCCTAGAGAATAAAATCTATACATAACCTGCACATAATTGCTTTTGTCTCACTTCACAGCTAGATCATTACAAATAACCACCGGGCTCTCTCACAGTTGTGCAGATTCTACCATAAACCAGAGTTTGATTACTTTTTGTGCAACTGTAGCAAACTAGAATTTCACTGGAGTTTAGCTGCTTCTTTCCATTTTCCATGAAAGGTGTAGAGTCTATTTATTCCATCAGTTCCACAAAAGAAAATAGCTAATTTAAGACCTACAGGTGCACAACAAAGGTAAAGAAAAAGGCTCATGCCGGTATGTGGTAGAGTGGAGTTGGATTTAAAGAAGAGAGGGTTATTGTCTTTTTCTTGCACTTTACCACTCTAATGATGCACTTATGTCACCCGCTCTTCCTTTTTTCTTACACCTTACCTACTTAAGGAGGAAGTCTTGATTGGTAAGTCGATGCTATCCGCAGATTCAGGGACTTACTGTAGGCCGCTGGTGGACTGTAAAATCTCTTCCGACGGGACTAAAGCAGAAACATGTTCTTTTTGTTTTTCTCAAGGATTTACATAGTTAGAGTGATGGAGATATTTCTTTTGTCTGCAACCCTTTTCATATAATTATATTATTTTTTACTTAAGTCCATTCTGTGATGTCTGTTCAATGTTCTTTAAAGGAAAAATACTTTCAAATTGGGGGATTTCTGTTTCCTTTTACTCTCCCTTTCTTCGAACATAAAAGTAGCTGGAAGTTTATTCATGTAGGTTCTTTTTTCTCTTTTTTGATCTGGATGTTTCTTTAATTGTCCTCTTTCATTAGCATTGGTTCATTGTTTATTTTCTCTATTCAGTCTCTATTTCATTAGTTTCTTTTGTTAGAGTACTTGCTTTGTTCTTCTCCTTTTCAAATTTCTCGCATGCGACAGATTTTTGCATGGCGTTTTTTAATCTTTTAGTTTCTGTTCCAAAAAACTTGATTAATTTCCTTTCTGCGCTCTGTAGGGACATTTGTGCCTTTTAAAGAGTACTCAAACTGCATCATGCAGGTAGCAGATTTTTGATGTGGCCTTGTTTTTCTTTAGAAAAACAACAACTTTGCTTTGTCTGCTTGCAGGTCTCACCATTACGTTCTGGGGTTGAGGATTTAAACAAAATGGTGATCGTCCAGGACTCAATATCCAATGAGGGCAAAGGACATGCAGATTACGATTGTGCCTTTTAAAGAGTACTCAAACTGCATCATGCAGGTAGCAGATTTTTGATGTGGCCTTGTTTTTCTTTAGAAAAACAACAACTTTGCTTTGTCTGCTTGCAGGTCTCACCATTACATTCTGGGGTTGAGGATTTAAACAAAATGGTGATCGTCCAGGACTCAATATCCAATAAGGGCAAAGGACATGCAGATTACGATTCGGGAAATGACACGTCCTCTCCGCTGTCAAGTAAAACAGGCATCACAAAATCAAAGGTTACTCGAAACGGAAAGTTCTTGTGTCAGGATCTGACATCTCCTGAGAAGCTTAGGCTAGCCTATGGGGACAATGCCTCAGATTCAGGCAACTCACTAACCAGCTATGAATCTCTGGGTAAACCACTGGTCAAAGAAAATACCCTACACAGCTCTGACTTCAACAAGCTCAAACGGTGAGGCTTTACATCTGTTTGAATTTATTCTATTACAGTTAGAAAAAGTGTAAGTAAAAAATAATATATGGTATTCATCAAATGTATCACTGTTTAACATGCCATTAGACCATGACAAGTACATTAACAATATCTTAATTTTGGGTGTAGGTTCAGCTTCCATTTCACTCTTGAAATATTACCACTGATGAGTGACTTTTCAAGTTAATAAAATAAAACAAAATCTAGCCAAACATGGATTGTTTGTTTTTTAGCCCAAACATAGTTTTTATTAAATTGAAAATAAAACTAAAGGGAAAATGAGAAATATTACTTGGCAACTGGCTGAAATAATTTTTATTTTTATATTTTATTTCAGTTAACGTTTGTAGATTTAGTTTTAGTTAACAATAGTAACCCTGGTACAGAGTGCAGTCTCTCTCTGCAGCTATGCAGATCTTCTATTATATTTTGAAGTATTAAAGTAAAGGTCTAAAATAATTTCCCTCTTATAATTGCAGTGAAAAAACGGGCAGGTACTCTGATTTGGAGAAGACACAGCCTCTGGGTCTCATCACTGATAGGACTCGGAGTCCGTCTTCTGATAGATATCAGGATCGAACGAGGTCCCGCAGCAGAAGCATATCATCCCAAAGCAGATACTCAGGGCGCTATTCCAGAAGCCGATCCCAGTCCTCAGGGAGAAGGTGGGTCACACAGCTGCTATTTATTATAGAAACCACAACTCTGATTTGAAGCTTTTGATTTAGTTGCAAACTTGTATTTTTGTATCTGACTATATCATCTCCCTCGGCTCATTTACAGATCATATTCCCGTTCGTCTAGTTACTCCCTGGATTCACGGAGAGACAGTCTGTCTAGTGCGAGCAGTTACCACAGTCTAAATTACTCACGGTGCACACCAGACAGGTGAATTTCAGCTGAAAGAAGATGTGTAATTTTATCTAAAATAATTGTTTGACAATAACTGTAAAATTAACGAAATCTGTTATTAAACACATACACTCTCACATCTCTATTATGTGTGGATGAAAAGGTTTCGAGAGCGGAAAAGGGCCTGCAGTTCCTGCAAGAGTAGAAAGCACAGCAGGAGAAGACCTTGTTCCCCAATGAGGAAGAGAAGAAGAGATTCCCCCAGTCACCTGGAAGCCCGTAGAATTACAAGGTCTGTTCTTACAGAACTACTAGTGTTATGACACAAGCTAACAACCTACTCTATGAATCACAAAAGGGAAGTGCTCCGCTAATCTTTCTTTGGAGATCAGTAAACCAAGATAGTTTACATATTTTTTCTAAACCTTTCTGCACTGATTGTGGAGAAAAATCTGTAGAAACCTGAGGAATGGATTTAAAAGTGGAAAAATATTTAAACTAAGCTGAGAGTATTTTAGTAGAATTGGTAGCTGAATTATCAAATTAGCGAAAATATTATTTGTTTTTTTGTTTGTTTAAATATTTAAAAAGCAATTGGCAGAAATGTCAGGCATTCAAATTCTTTCTGCTCACATCCTCAAGATGTGTGTGTGTGTGTGTGTGTGTATAATTTTTTTTTTAAAAAAATGAAAGTTCAAAAGAACAGCATTTATTTGAAATCTTTTGTATAACTGTCTTTACTGTCACTTTTGATCAATATAATGCATCCTTGCTGTGCTGTATATATGTATTAATTTCTTCTTAACCCCAAACTTTTTTTGAACACGAACATGTATAGCCTATTATTATATATTATTGATCAAATAAATGCAGCCATAAGAGACTGCTTTCAAAAATATTAAAAAAAAACCCTTACCAATCCCAAACTTTTGAATGGTAGTGTTTATACATATGGACAAGTCATTTTGTGATTTTTTTTTTCAATTTAAAATGATTTATTAATATGTCATTGTTTGTATTCTCTTTCCACATGCCTTCCTGTCCTGCACAGTGCCAGAAAGAGGCCGATCCCCTACTACCGTCCCAGTCCCTCCATCAGCAGCCGATCCTCCAGTCTCCTGTCCTGGCGCCTGTTTTCTCTCAGTCGCAGTCGAACTCGCAGTCGTTCACGGAGTCGCAGCCGCAGCCGCAGTCACACTTTTTCTTCATACAGGAGCTACAGTCGCAGCTCATCATGGAACTCTATATATAGCAAACGCAGTCGCAGTCGGAGCAGAAGCTATGACTCAATGGTGAGCTATAGCAGAGCCCGTCGCTAATTTACGGATGAACCAGATGCCGGAATGCTGAGCTACAGCACAATCCCAGGATCGTGTCTTACTGTAACTGGTAGTGAAATGGAGCAGCACTGAGAACATGCTGTGCTTAGATGTGGAACACCAGCCAGTGACAGGTTCATCTGTTCAGTTTCAGATAAGACTGAAGCTTTCCATATTGTTGTGTACTAAACTGTGCTTTCATCCATCCTGCTCAAAGGAAAACTTGTCTATCAATCATAAAGCCTGCTGTTGTAGGAAGGACTGGACCGGAGGTTTCAATATGTGTGCTGCAATCAGTGAGTTCTGCTATACCTTGTTTTGCTCATAGGTGTGAGGATATTGTTATTAATTTATCAAAACAGCCATAGTAGATAAAAGGAAGTGCAGGGTCGCTCATGAGACACTCATAACCTTGACTGTAAAAGCCCATGTATGAATCTATTGTATTTTTGTAGTGTTTTCTTTTTTATAGGATATGTCAAAAGTGCTTGAGGAGAAAGATTTATTGCTTTCATAACAGTTTTTACTGAGAGCAGTCGCTTCTGTGTTGCACACACCTTCACTTTTGAAAAATGTGCCATCCGAATCGGCCCCACTGGCAAACGCACACCCCATCAGCCCAAATGCCAGCTTTGTTTATCTTCTGTTGAACTGGAAAACAATTCAAATGTCACTGCCCGTGATGGAGATGATGATGGTGGTGGTGGACAATCAAAATGCAGGTGGGAACAGTTTTGTGGGTCCAGCTGTCC